TTAATAAAATACAAATACACACAAATATATATATATATATATATATATATATATATATATATATATATATATATCCGTAAAGAAAAGGACTATGGTAACAAATAACTGAAATGACTAAAAATATTGCAAACGTTTTTTAAAATTCCATTACAAAAATAATGAAAATAACATTCATTTTGTGAAAAATAATGAAAATAAATGTTTAACTGCATTTTCTGAACGAAACTTATATTACTTCTAGTACGACCATGCCACGATCTTACACAAGACTACGCTGTTTAAAAAATTATTATATTATACTGCAAATAATAGTACGATAAATAACATATTAATTTAGTTTTATTAAAAATATAAATAAATTTAATATTAAGTATTTTGAAAAGTTTAAACTAATTTTAATCGCACTAAGCGTCATACAAGATTTCTAATTTAGATCCGGTATTAAGCTAATATATATATATAGTAAATATCATAAATGGAAATATTAAAATCGTAGGGAAATTATATTTCGTAAAGGGTAACGTAATATCCCAAGGGATGAGAACCGTACGTGGCATGTGACAATTGTACGTAAGAAAAGGACACATGCAGAAGGTGTTTGATTCATTCAGTTGAAGAGCCCCTCTTTTCTTCGTTTTATAGCTTGCTTTTGGTCCGACTCATGGGCCCCACCTCGCTTACAAATTCGTTTTTTTTTTTCGTACGGTTAATAAAGTGTCTTCGTTATTAATAGCAATAAAAATAATTTCGCCATTTAAAAAAACGTTGTAATGTATGTAACTCCGACGAGGAAAATTTGATAAAATAACGTACAAAATACTATTGAATTTAATGATATAAAATATATAATTATGTTTGAATTGAATGTGATTTAAAATTAATATATTTTTCTTTTAAAAAAATCTACATAGAATATAAAGTCAATAAAGACACTTTTTCAAAAATATTTTTAAATAAAATCAAAGTGAAATAAATTTAATAAAATCGAATTGGAAACCGATGCAAAAACTGATCATATATAATTTTTATAACGGAAAATCAAATTAAAAATTGTCGTAACCAAATCTCAAAATATCTACGTATGATCTAGAATAGAAATAATGTGCACGTGATTCGTACCACATATTTTGGAATATATACTATTTGGGACATTGTGGAAAATACGGTATTAAGAAAAATGTATAATGAGATACCCAAAGTCGCTCAAATAGTAACATTCATGGTCTCACAAGCAAAACGATCTTTTATTATTAATAAAGTTTGCATCTATATTTAATATATTTTTTTTTGATAATATGTGATTTGATTAGGATAGGTTTGAACCTGGATTAGAATACTCTTTGCGTATATCCATTTACCAGTTGAGCCAGCCATTTCTGGGTATTTAATATTTTTTTATATATTATATAACACAAAACGAGAAACAACTGCTTCGAGTTGCCGACAATAGGATGTGTCCATACACGAATTAATTTCTTGGACTTCGATGCTGCTATCATATAACAGGACCATAACGAAACCGTGCATGGATGCACGTGTATGTATGTGTATATATGTAATGTATACACATATAACCATTAGCAAATTCTCGTCTAACCAAACACGAACTAAAATATATTTTGATTTTATTTGATTTTCACTTTTTAGAACTGAAACAACGAAAATCGAAAAAAAAAATTAATATAAAAAATAAACTAACTTTGTTTTACTATATATTTTTTTAATAAAAATCGAAAATAAACGAAACTCAGTGATTTGTGGCCAAAACATAAATATGTCGTATAATATATACACTTTACAAAATCCAGAAAACCGATGTCGAATAAAAAATCAAAATATATAACCATTTTGAGATTGCGCAAATTTCCTCTTAATTAATCATATGAAGATTTTTAAGAAAATGCCATGAAATCGGATAGAAAGCTACCGTGTATACAGTGTATATAATATATTGGTAGTTTGGGACAAAAAATTGGGGAAATGTGTCGAGAACCCATAACGAGGGAACACAACGAGATTTTTTTTTTTTAAAAAAGAACCTCTCAATCACTTCGAAGCACGAGATTAGATTAACAATTGATAGAACATACTAATGAAGTAAGAGAGGTGATCATACATTAAGCAAAGTTTACAAATTATGTTCCATATATCGACCGGTCCAAAAGAAAATTAAACACTCGAGCAAGCGATGAATATATATGCTTTTGTCATATTGGGAATTATGGAGGGTCATTAGTTTCTGTGAGTTAACGGCATGATTCCTAATCGCATTCACAAATATCTATAGATTCGAATTCAAATTCTCTACAACCAATATATATATATATATTGTGTGTGTGTGTGTGTGTGAAAAGATGAATGAACACAAGATATTGTATAATTTTGGCTTATCATATTTCAAAGACCCACCAATGAGAAACATAATTGAATTAAATGGAAATGCAAAAGAAGACAATGGGACATAGAAAGGGTACGTACTTAGAGAAGTGACGGAAGAGGCAACACAAAGGGGAGAATACGGTCCAATTTTCATTACAATGTCGCTTTTTTTTTTTTATAACCATGATGATTCTCCGGGTCTTCAACCCGATTTGATCCACCCTAGACCCAAGATCAATCTTTGTATATAGACCATTTTGATCCAGAAATTACTCACCACTAGTGGAATCGAACTCAAGGCTTGAAGATGACTTTATCACCGGGACACTGTTGGATTAAAATGTCCCTTATTACGTAATCCCACACTCCCCCTCTTCTCTTGTCCCCACACACTCCACATGCCCCTCTTCTTCCTTATGTTGCCCCCTACAACAGAGAGCAGCAGACACTGCCACTACTATTTCGCCTCCATTATACAAAATTTGAATCTAATAATGTGAAAAATATCCAACCCTACTTCAACATATTATTATTATTATACATTAGAAGAAGAATTGGTAATCTTATCATCGACATGCATGAAATCATAATGTGTTATACATATATTTAAAACCGTGATTAGATGGCTGATCTTCTAGATTTCAGTTCATATTTCGTTTTTTAGGCCAATGAGAAACAAAAGTATATTATTAAGAAACTTCTTACGTGTGGAATTGATGCACCAACATTTTTTCCCCCTTCGCAGCATAAACATGTTTTGAATGATGCATTTAAATGCGCATAAGACTAACGCAACCCTAAATGACGCCAAATTAATCAAGTCAAAACCTCTATTTATCAACTTTAAAATTATAGACATTTTTATTTATTACGAAAAAGGTCGCCTTACAAGATAAGAGAACATACATTTTTTTCTCTCTCAAGTTCTTACAAATTATGAATGTTACAAATAATTATAAAGAATTCAATTAGAATGAATCCAACCACATGTAAGTGAGTCAATGAATTTTTTAAATCAAATTAATTGAATCTAAAAGGAAAAATAATTGAAAACAAAAAAAAATTATTTAAAAAATAACCAATTTTTCAATAAAAATAAAACCAAAAATAGTGAAAAAAAAACCAAACGGATCCTACAAACAAAAAATCAAATAGACGAAATTTTTTCAAAACCCAAAATTCAAATTGAATCCAAATATAATCAAAATAAAATCGAATTGGTTTCCGGATCGCTGCTCCAAAATTTTATTACCGTTTTTCTCATTTTCGAAATAAATATCGTGTCTTTTTTCGTACATATGAAAAGGTCGCATCAAAATTTTATTTTAGGAGATTCTGAAGACACAAGCAATTGGATTCTCGGTTCCTACAGTCTAAACTATGCATTTAATTTAACATCTAACATCGGTTGTAACCACCGTAATGTACTTCAAATACTTGTCCGTAGCAGACACGTAGTTCACATTGAGCCAAACACTCAACTATATTTCCTTCAACAACATCCTCTCTCTCTCTCTCTCTCTATATATATATATATATATATATATATATACTCCCGCACATATATGTATATACACAAACATATGTCTTTATATGTATATACATGTTTTTATGTATCAAACACAATCTCTCTCCAACAAGCAGCTCCATAAATACCCCGACTCCCCAAATCCACAAACCCTCCTTCACTCTCTCTCTCTCTCTCTCTCTCTCTCTCTCCCCACACTCCAACTCCAACCACCAAAAAAAAAGATCTTAAGCAAAAAATTCAAAACTTTTATAGAAAAATTAACAACCCATTTGGGGTTTCACCCATTTAAATCACAATGGCCATAAGAAAATCATCAAGCAAACTTACACAGAAGGCAATGATCAAGCAAATCTTGAAGAGGTGTTCAAGCTTTGGGAAAAAACAAGGCAATGGGTACAACAGCGATGAACATGAACACCCGCTGGATGTACCGAAAGGTCATTTTGTGGTATACGTGGGTGAGAACCGGGTCAGGTACGTTGTACCCATTTCGTTTTTGACCCGACCCGAATTCCAAGTTCTTCTACAACAAGCAGAGGAAGAGTTCGGCTTCGCACACGACATGGGTCTTATAATCCCTTGTGAAGAAGTCGTTTTCCGATCTCTCACTTCCATGCTCCGATGAATGATTTATACATCATCATCATTATTAGGGTTTTTTGGCTTATGCTCTGGAAAGTTTCAATCTATATATATATATAGGATGTGAAAACAGATGAAGCTGCTTCATCTGCTTCTCTGTTTTTTTTTTCATATTTTTGTGCGATGGGTTTAGTATTTTTAGAATTAGACTGACCCAAGAATCCCAAAAGAGAAAGAACTGATTCATTTTGGTTCTTCTCAGATTCGTATGAAAAAAAAAATATTGAAGAATCTGATAATTCTTCCTCATGGAGGTGGGGTTGTTGTATGTGTACGTACTACCCTCTGAGAGAGACTTTATATCAGTGAAATGATAAAAAAAAAATATTTAACCTAAGTTTTTTTTGTGTGTACGTATCCTTTTAATTATTTTCTTTGTATAAATCCGATTTGAAAGATATTATTCTGTGTGATTGATATATTTTATTTGAATTATCTCCATTGAAAATTTTCGGACTTGACATCGAATGTATCGGATCTGAAAATCGGACCATGGGAACTGTTTTTTTTTCTTCTTCTAATGAACTACAAACATTAATATCAAAGCATGGGAACGAGCTAAAACAGTCAAAAAGCTGACAATTTTTCGATTTCTAATTATTTTCCAAAAGGATCAGAGAATGAAAAAAAAAATGGGATCTTAATTTGGTTCATTAAAATAAATTCAATGTTAATAATAATAGCGAGTAGCTGCGTTCTTGAAAACAGAGTAGAGAGAGAGAGAGATAGGTTCGTTACTTTTCATAGTTTTGTCTGTGGGAAGGGAATATTACTCAAATAACCCACTTGGGTCGCAGCAATTTCAGTGTACACCACCGAAAAAAAAAAAAAAATTTGCGACCTTATTACGACTAATATATAACTAATATACAACTTATTACGACTAATAAACTACTCTTATTTTAGTTGTATATTAGTTATATATTAGTCGTAATAAGGTCGCAAAATTTTTTTTTTTTTTCGGTGGTGTACCCTGAAATTGCTGCGACCCAAGTGGGTTATTAGGGTTAAAACCCCCTGTGGGAAACATTTTTTACACTTTTTTTGTTAGCCTTTTAAACTAATCCATAAACTAAAAGTTATGGAAAAATCATAGTTTATACATTTTTATAATATTAAGAGGTAAGAGGTATATAAAAATATACATATATATAAATTGAGTGTAGAATTATATTTTTCAACAATGATCTCGCAAATATAGTATAATACTTATTATTTGACAATATAAAACTATTCATTCAATATGTTACATATATGCATTTAAAAAAGGAACGCCGAAATGTAGCTTTCAACTACACCTAAATTAGTTGTAGTGAGTGATGAAAAAAAGAAGTGCCATATATCGAATTATTGCGTACCCTTTAACCAAAAAAAAAAACTGTTATTTTAAAATATATCAGGATTACTGACCAAACCTGTCTCCGAGATTTATTTATTAGTATTTTGATAATTAAAATAATTTTGTTAATTGTTATTAACATTTGCAAACGAAATCTTCCGTATCATAAAACGGATATTTACATTGAAACTCACCAATAGGAAAAATAAAAAAAATAAGTATAAACATATTTTATTTGATTGGACTAAAAAAACAGAGAAAATATATGTACATATGTATAAAAATAAATAAGAGCGAGATGTCAAATCAACGGCAGAGAGATGGCACATGGGGAGCGGGTCCCAGAGTTGGAAATCTCGTATAAGTTTTGATCCTCTGTAGCAAATTAAAGTTATACCAGGTGGGGCCTACATAGGAATTTGGACGGTTCAGATTTAACGCAAACTTTGGACGGTCATGGGCTCGAGATCGCGATAAGATTTGACTGTACACCACGCGCCCCAAAATTTAGATTTCCCATTATATCCCCGACCGTACGGTACTACTCATCCGACGGTTTCGCTTCTTTCGTGCGGCGCATATAGGTTTCTCGTCTCCGTTTTTAAATTCGATTATTTTCTAATTAGATGTTTCCATTTTTAGATAATCGGATATATTGAAACAAGGTCTGAACTAATTCCGAGATACTAACCAGCCAGTTGTTTTGAAATATATGTTCATTTTCAAATTTGAAGTTCGAATTCGAGACGGACCAAATGATTTGCACATCCGTTTCGTTTTTATAGTGGATTTAGATTTTTTTAACCATAAAAATCGTATTTTTTATATCATATATAGATCGATTCGGTTTTCTGTAATCTAATCGACATATATGCAATTTTATATCGAGCCGAAACAAATTAAACCGAATAAGATATCTTATTCAAGTCTAATAAGATAATAAAACTCTTTAACAAAAAAAGATAATAAAAACTCTAATAATAATAGTTTTTGAAACCTAAATATAAAAATCGAATATGTATCATTTTTATAGAAATAAACAATAATTGAAATTACAAACGGTTGTGTTTGTTTTTTACATGCAATATGGTAATACTATAATTATATAAATTCGATTTTTTCGATTAAAAGAAATATATCTATTAGATTTTTTTTGGGGGGTAATCTATTAGATTTTAATATCAAGTTAGGTTTTTTGTTTATATTCCCATTTTTATTCATAAAAATACTTATTTTACAAAAAAAAAATATTTTTTTCCAATGGGCATTTGATTCTTTTATTAAGATACTAACAAAACTAAAACAAAATATAAATATTTTAAAAATATTAAAGTGTATAAAAAGTTTATATATGTATACGTGAAATGGGTCCGCCAGGTGTAGAAACATATATATATATATATATATATAATATACACACACGAGTGCAGAAATGATGGGGAGACTGATATGTTGTATATCGTTTTGTGCCCTCTTTTCTTCTTTCAAATCTAATCAGCTAAAATCACGCGAAATTTGCTAAATCACATTAAATGAATCATTCCACTTGGAACATTTTCTTCACGAAACGTAGAATGCTCTAAAATTATTTTCATATTAAAATAAAAAAGGAAAAGTTGACAAAACAGGAGAAAAAAGACATTATCATAACAAAATCTTTGGCGTTTTTAACAAATAGTAATATCGAAAAAAATAATCACAAGAGACAATAATATGGCAACGAAAAAACTCCTACGCGTAAGAGAGAACAATCTTACAGAAGAAATCCCAACGCAATCTCCGCAGTTCTTGTAAAGATTTATATATATATATATATATAATGAATTACAACGGGTGATGAACGGAGGCAAAAAGGTCACATGAGGAATAGTAAGATATGTAGGGAGATTAGTAAGACAAAACCAAATCTTATTTAGCTGTATTTATATCAACATCCCAACAAAATAAACCAAAATTTAAAAAAAAAAACAATTCACTAGAATTCTTTTATAACAAAAAAACAGTACGTGTCACTTCATTGCATGGCACTTGAAACTCTTTTTTATTCGATATCTTGCTCGTGAGGTCGGCCCACTTCCGATTTCATTTCTACTTGCACCCAAAAAAAAAAGTAGTACTTGAATGAGTACTTGTCCTTACATATATATTTTTGGTGAAATAGATAATTTTTATATGGTGTATAACTACATTAATCTCTTTCTGAAATGTTATAGCTAGAGCTACAATAATATATGATGGACGAACCGTATAATTGTTATGGTTAAAGTATCTAAATATCTTTTATCTAATTATAATATATCGTATTATAATTTTTTTAAAGATTAAATTTAAATGATCTTTATTTTTTTTTCCAAGTTAAATGCATTATAATGAGAGTTAATATCCGATTCTCACGATTAAAAGGGAATTCTATTGAAAATATCGTATTAGTTGGAATTAGAAAATGTAGAAATCATATTCATCCATTTTAAAATTAAATTAAACTCGTTTTCTATTACTACGAGTTATTCTATTATCTTAAAAAAAATTATATATATAAACTCACATAACCACCCTAATCCGATCATATAATAGCATTAGTAATCTTTGTTCAGTTTAATTATCTTTATCTTGTAAACGGAAATGGGCAAATTCCTATATATTGTAAGATGATATTTTTAAATCCTTATATAGTTTTAATGAAAAAACGTGAGATGGGTCTGCATGTGATCGTATCAAATCAAGGAGTAGATAAAATGTCTAGATTAATTATGATTAATATGTGCTTAAATTTCATGATTAATGTCGTTTCATACGATTTGGTGGATCTTAATTAACGCATAGGAATGAGGATTTACTTAGATTTTCCCCCAATAATTTAATAGCAAACAGATAAAACGGTGGATTAAATAATAAATAACGAATCAAGCAACTCCGTTATACAACCATTGACATTTGAAACAGTTTTGCATGAAGGGCTCTCATGATTTATTCTAATAGATAAAACTAGCAAATCCTAGATTAATTTTTACATTTAAATATTTTGGTTGTGATATAAAAATGTTTATCTTTTTAAACAAAAAAATCTGATCACTTTTTATAATGAAAATAAAATTCCAACCAATTTTTTTTTTAAAAAAAATCGTTACAAAAAATAAAAAAGTGGAACTAAACCCGAAATGTAAACCCAAATCCTAATTATGACGTCCGTGTTTGTTTATTAGATGATATGGGATTTTCAATTAACTTGTAATTAAATATTAAGATTAGGTTGTCTAATTAATTAATATAAAAGGAATCATTGAATGTGGTTTAGACATCAACATTATGCTTTAAAAGAGAAGCCCGTTGCAAGTTAAAGTGGGTTGGGCTCACACACCCTATAATTTTACGGGTTTAATTAGTTTTATCATTAAAAAAACAAAATTTTTATCTTTTTTCAAATCAATTTAAAATATTTGCAGTTATTTTTATATGTATTTATAAGATGTAAGAATTTATTTGAGTTATAGATGATTGAGTTTCTAATTACATTTGAGAGATCAAAGGTTTTTTAATATATATTTTTTTTCAAATTTTTAAAGGCTTTAATTAGTTTGTTTTGAATATATATATATATATGTTTGTTTGACTTGACTCCACATAAATTGAAAATAAATTGACAACCATTTGCTCATTTGCCGACCAATGTGACTTATCTTACCTTAACTAGTCGTCTTTGAATTTTCGTTAGGAAGTAGGCAAAGGACATACAATGAGTGAAGGAGACTTCCTTTCACATATGACTTCACTTGGGTCTGCATAAAAGCTGCTTTAATCCATAATAATCAAACTGTTTTATAATCGACATGGGAAATTGTATTTACGGTATACAAAAATTATGTGAAAGATAATTTTGTATTGCGAATTTTTAAAGTAAATTGATATTTATTTTTTTTATAGAAAATATAAATAAACTATTTATACATATAAAAAATAAGTCAAAGGCATAACTGTCATGCGTCGATCAATTAAAAATTATCTAAACTCCATATAAGTGAATAATTTCATTGAAATTTTGGAAAAAAAATATATGAATGGACACGGAACAATAATACATAATCCAAAGTCCAAACCATATACCTTTTATTAGTGGCCACGTTGGACGACCAATCTTAAGTCAACGGGTAAATAGTCAATGCCAACGTTACTCAAATGTTGATACCAACGGTAGAAAGAAAAAAAACTTCCTAAATTCATTCAAATCCGAACTACTTGAATGTGTATATATTTATATGTGTGTGTGTTTTTAATGTTGAATTAAGATCATGAATGGTAAGTTACAAGGGAAATTTCGTAAGGTGTTATAGATTAAATTATCCGTTCTTTCCATTTGTAAAAAAAGTGAATGATTTTCAAATCAACGAAAAGATTTGATGATTTTTTTTTATTTGTTCGCATACAATATTATAAAATCTTATTTTAAGCATATAATCAAGATTTATAATTTCGGTAGGTATTATTTTTTCTTAAAAAATACTAAAATAATTCCTTTCTAGAAATGTAATTTTTATAGAAATTTAAAGAATTCATAATAATTTTTTTTTGTATTATTGGAATGATCCATTAGTTATACATATGTTCATAATATGAAACCTAAATTAAACCGGAACCTAACCCAAATATTTGACAAAAAAAAAAAGGGGTAATGGCAAAAAAAAAACATAAACTTTGTGTATTTAGCAAATAAATACATAAACTTTTATTTTGGTAATAAAATACACAAACTTTTGGAATAATGACAACAAAAAATTGAACTTTTTTTATTTGGCAAATAAATACACAAACTTTTATTTTGATAATAAAATACACAAACTTTTATATTTTTAGCGTAAACTTCCACGAACAATAACGACGTCAAAAAAATAACGGAACCATCAACACGTCATCTATATTTGTGAATATCCGTGTCCAATATAAAAATTATAAAATTTTAAATTAAAATTAAAAACAATTTTAAATATAAATAAATTATATAGGTCATTTATATTCAAATTTTAAAATTTAAATATTTAAAATCAATATAAATATAAATATAATCATAATCTATCATATCTATCATATACAAATGTATTGAAAGTTTAAACATTCTAAATCTCAATTATATAAAATATTAAGGGATGCACGAAGGGTGGGATAGGAAACTGTAAAATGATTACAATCGAAAGGGTAAAAAGGGAAGTCAAAGTTCCATCATTTTACTATTTTGGCCCCTCTTCTTCTCTTTCCGCTCTTCGCATCATTTTTTAATCTATAAATTATTTTTTATGGTTCTTTTTTTTTTATAAAGTATTTTTATAGCTCTTAAAACACGCCATTGATTATCTCTAACATATCTCTCGCTTTTTCATTGCACGGAATTATACAATATATACATATATTAATAATCGCCAGGAACATGATATATATATATATATATATATATATATATATATATATGATACATGACAAAACCATTTTTTGGATATTTAAAAACTGAAATATTTAGAATGATAAAATTGAAATATGCGCATTGGAGATTGGAGATTTAGGTATAGATAGTGCATGACCAAAGGAAGAAAATATTGTTGGATTATATGATGTAGGAGTAGAGAACATGTTAGCTAAATGTCTATATGGTCTTATCTTATGGGTGCATCAAAGAGACAATGTCACATTCGTAGATACATCGCATCATAACATATACACACACACACACACACATATATATATATATATATATAAAAGCAATATGACCATTATTTTGATGTTAGTGCATTTCCCTTTCATATCACTATCTGCAATTTTGATTCAAACTACATAACACTACTCATGCTTTGGAGCTCATCATGTCATGTCATGTCATGGCATGTCATGTGTCGATACGGATAATATCATTCGCATATAAAAATAAAATCCACAACCCTCGTTATTAACGACTTAAATTTCACCTATTTATTTATGTATACTAACAAATTGAATTATGAGACGACGTCAGTAAAAATGTAAGGATTCGTATTTTGATAAAAATAAATATTTTCAATTAAAAAAAAGTTAAATATTTTAAAGAACTAAAACCCTTTTACAAAATTATGAGAATGAAGATGAGAGAAAGAGAAATCCTTCAATATCGTTGTCATTTGATTGAAATAAGCATGAGACACATTGTCCAACGATTTGAGTTTGGGCTCCCTACGTAATTGTTCGTCGTACGATTTGGGGGATGTATTTATATGATTTTGACATTATAATGTGGAAAATATATAAAAAAAAACTATTCAGAGATAGCAAATATTTACATCCAAAATTTATAAAAAAATTAAATATAATTTTGTAATTATCAATAAATATAGAAAGAATCAATTTTTTTAAATAAATATAGATATGTTTTTATAATTTCTATTTATTTGGATGTTTTACTGTCAATAAAAAGTCTGCCGTGAAACAGAGAGGAAAATGGGCAAATAGTCTTTCGCTCACATGGCATTGTCGGAATTTATGTTTTTAAAATCATTACAGTCCAAATTCATTTTGTTTTTGTTTCTTTGTAGAAATTAATAAACAAATCTGCGAAATTGTTTTTTGAACATTGTTTTAAAATTCAATAACCTTGTTTGAAAGTGGATGAATATTGCAAATTTCTCAAAAGAATTATTTTAATATATTTTGGAATTTCCAAATAAATTCATGGAAATTAAGAATTTACAGAAAAAAAGTGACCACATTTTTTTTAATACCAAAACCAAAATTACATCCCTTTTCTCTGAAGCAAATCCTCCTTCTTGACTCGGATTCGGACCCGGGACGACTCGGTGGGACGACTCACCCACCTTTCACCGCCATCTCCTTCTGTGAGCCGCGTTAATAGAATTCAATAACTCGCCGCCCCAAACTCAGCCACCACATTTTCTCCTCCAGTGAGCCGAAAAATAAATTGAAAAAGAAAATACAAAAATTTTCATGAAACCATAAATCCAGGACCCGAACCCGAATATTTCAGCACTACCCAACTCGTGGTAACTCAGCCGAGTCAATGACGATTTATTCACAATTCCGATTCTCTTTCCCCCTCCATGTCGCCTGTACTTAGCGAGTCAACTCGCTCCGAGACAAGCCCGGGTCAGAATCGATTACGCCTCTCTCTTTATTCGTCGATTCCATCTGTACAAACTTTCAAAAATCTACCAAATCGCCTTTTCGGCGACACCTTGAAGCAAAGGTCGAGATTCGACCCACAGATCCAGCTTGCTCCGTAAACCGGCGTGGCAATTCTTCTGGAGATCGTCAGGGCAGGTAAACCGGCCCGATCGTCCCGAATCGGACCGGGAGATGAACCGAATGGCTTCCTCGAAGACCGACTCATCGCAGGGGATGACCAAGGGTCCCTGGTTCGAGAACCCGAACTCCTCCTCGGCTTGGACCAGAAGCTTCCTGAATATCGGATGGTTCAGATACGTCGCACGCACAATGAATCTCTTGCAGCTGCTCCCCACGCAGACCGCCACGTGTCCCGCCGGCACATCCGACGGCACAAATTTCGCCGCCGACGACATCCTCGCCTTGTTCCTCCACCGCCGGAGCATCTGTCGGAGCCTCACAATGTGGCGGATCTTGCTGCATTTTCCAAGTCCTCCAGCCATTTTATTCCCGGGTAAAGTGAAATCTAAGAGAGGGAGAAGAAAGCCTGAGAAGGAGATGCTGTTTCGATTCCGAGAAAGTGAGAGAAAATGTCGGGTGGAGGGATTTCAGCAGTGGGAGGGACGAGGGTTATATAGTGACGGGTTTACCAGAATACCTCTGGTTTTTGAGATAATTACCAAATTGCCTCGGATGTTCACTAATTTGTCTTTTTGTGGGACCTTCGCTCATCGGATAAAATTAGTTGTTATGAGATTAATGAAACATGATTATGGAGATGGATAAATTAAATTGATTACTCATTAATGAAATTAATTAATTTTTTGGTGAGAAAGACTAGATACGATCCTTGGAGCATTATAGATTTCATGTGATTTTTTCTTTAGCATTCAATGGATTGGTACCAAAGTATACATTGGTACTACAAATGATGGATTCTCCATGTGAAATTTAGTGGTTCATAGATAAGTCGAGGTTTTAATAATTGTGCCAATGAACCCATTAAGACCAAAGAAAAACAAAAATAAAAATAAATTTTCTAATGAACCCGTTAATTATATTGTATTATTTAATTCGGTTTGATCTTATTAGGGTCTGAGTATTTTTTAAATATATAATTTATATAGAAATTTGTATTTTCATTCTATTTTAATTCTCCCTAAATTTAACATGTTACGAAAATAATTTTTTCTTCGTTCAACATCTTACCTTTTTACTTCTTTGTTTTTTTTTTTATTATTTTCAATTGTTTTGAAATCTGAATCGATTTTGTTTATACAAAAAAATGTAGGAACTTAAAATTTGATGTGATGAAAAAAGAGAGAGTGTGTGATTGATGGCGGGAGAGAGGCATGTGCTCAATCTTTAATCTCAAAAGGAGTGTTGGATAATTAGTCGTCGATGACATTTCAACACCAACTTATGTACTTTCAAATATAGGATATATGTGTAGTCTCTTCTTAATCTTTATGTCCTGTCCTTTAAAGCTTCTAACTTGCAAATATTTTTACTAATCATAAAATTTTCTCATCCACAATAAATATATATATATATATATATCAAAAGTATGCAATCAACTATTTTTTATAATTCAAAAATTCACCGGATTCCATCTAAATCTTTCAAAAAATCGGAAAAATTTGGTTGAATAATCTTTTCCACGTTTAGATTTGTATAGGGATAAAAATATACTTTGCCTGTTTTTTTTATCATTAGTTCATTCAAATTTGTATTACAATCAATTTTTTTATTATGTAATGCCGAATATAAGTATGATATGTTGGTGATTAGCCATATATAAAGTAACTAAATCACAAAAAAAATTAATATACATATGTGTGTATGTAATGAATGGACTAAAAATGGTCCAATGATGTAATTCGTGGAGACATGGGGTCGTAGCCGAAATGACCCCTCCGAGGGTTTAACTTTAAACATGCAAATGCCTAGAAAAATATTAAATAAATTTTATTGTTATTTTTTGCATATTCATATTAGGGATATCGCAAAAAAAAACACAGTCAACAAAAAAGTTTTATATAGAGTTTAATTAATAAAGAAAAAAATATAATGTATTTTTGTTGATACCATAAGAGTACAGAGTTTTTTTTTTTTATTTTGCGATTTTACCTAATTTATTGAAAGGAATATGTATTATATTAATCGCACGGAAATGGAAGAATATTTGTTAAACAGATTGGGAGAAAATAAATAAAAACCCACCACATGCGTAGCTGGAAAAGAGAGTAAATATATAAAATAAAATATGCAAATATCATAAAACAAAATAAAAATGATAAGAAATAAATTAAAGGTTTTCTCACAAGAAGCAGGTAAGTTAACGAAAGATGCTTTTCATTCGCAAAAACAATATTAAATTTATTTAATAACAATCAAAAGCAAAATAAAATAATAAGACGCACCAAAGCCCTTATTTTTGTAGTTTACGAACGTGCCCATGCCACCATGTGCGGTGATGCCCCCATCTCCCAATTTCTAAAATATTTTCACATTCTAAAATAAAATATATTTCCTATTACAGGAAAAAAGTGTAAATCTCATCATAAATTTCGACACATTTTCTTGTGAAGAAATAGCTAACTCCGTGTGCAAATCAATGTTAACCTAAATCTAAATCAATGTTCAATTATATATATATATATATATATATATATATATATATATTATATAAATGTTTTAAGACCAAACCCCCGAGCTTATTATCCTACTAAAATTAGTTCTCCGTTGGGGTAAATAGTTGTTTAGTCCAACTAATTAACTAATTAAGATTAATCTTATTTTTAAAATATAGTGATAAAAGATCTTGTTTTTGCAGAAAATAAAATATTCACGTCTAGACGTTCTCTAAACACCACATATATGGTCTAGGCATTAGACGGTCCAATGAAACCTAACAGATTTTTGAACATTTAATTAAATGCAAATCTTTAATAATCACGAATTTAAATGGCTAAATGGGGATGGTACATGAATGTTGAACTCGTACTAATCAAAGCTTTGTATAATACATCTAACCATTAATGATATGCAATGGATTATGCAGTCAACAACATGCTACTAATCAACTTAGTAGCATATATTAATCATTTATTAATTATAGTTATTACTTTTATCGTTTAATTACTACTTCGTTCCTTAATTAAAAAAATATATTTTTATGTTTGTTTTTAATAGATTAAAAAAAAATTCGGTTCAATTTTTAAAAACTATGTCTAAATTTAAAAGGAAAATATCCATCTTATAAGTTTAGTTAGTCAATAATTTCTCTTCATTTAACTACAATATTTAATAATTCCTATTCGGTTTGTGATATGGTATATATATGATCTACAATCTTGACAGTCCACACATTTAGTCCCATTTCGTCCTACATACCACATTTTCTGCATGTGATACCCTTTTGAGATACATACATACATACATACATACATACATACATACATACATACATACATACATACATACATACATACATACATACATACATACATACGTACGTACGTACATACATTACATATATATATACATAATATAGATTCCCGTAAACGGTTGTATACGGACACTTCCCACAGTAATTTAGTCCAATACACGCGCATCCACATGCACACATACACATATATATACCCCTGCAGCTTGTACATATCTATGCATTATTTTTGAACCAAGATCGAAATAACGGAGGCATATGATTGGAGGTTAAATAAGGGGAAATGTATAGAAATGTGTATGCGTGAGTATGTATTTACGTGTAGATATGTGTCCACGTGCATGTTATGGAAGGTGGGGTGCATCCCCACCATGCACTACGTACGCACCCCCACTTGTTGGGTTTTAAGGATTTTCTCATTTAATTTTCTCTGCCTAATTAATGTAATAAATATAATATTCAAATATATATTCTATTTGCCTTGCGCACCAAAGTTCTGCACATAGATTTCTCCTCTCCCACTGATCATATAATTATTGTTACACACATTCACTCAATTATTTATCTCCTGAAACATTACAACGACTTTGATCCGATCGATGCTATGTATATCGGCATTGTCCTGTCTCTTTCCTCCCTCATGCTCTATACATACATGCATATATATATATATATATATATATATGCATGTACATGTACAGTGTAACTTTTGTCTGAAACCATTCAATATGCTCTAATCACATTATCTGTTTTCTACTAAGGACACAAATCTCGTTGGAGGATATCTTTTGGTAATGCCATTTGTTGAAGAAACAATATCAAAATATGCAAAATTGATGCGTGTTTTTTAATTACCAATAGGACACTTTTTAAGATCTTGAGCATATACGCAATATTTATCATATATTATACAATTCGGACATACAAAAATGAATGATTGAATCGAGATCTTAATTTTTTTTTTTCAAATTAACTTACTTGTAAATCTCCACCAACTCGAACTCGGGTCCTTTTTAAGATCCTGTGCATATGCACATTTATCAATAGGTTATACCATTTTGACAGACGAAAATGAATTATTGAATGGATATTGTAACTATCCACATATTTAAATTCGATTTTCGATATTTGAATTTATGGTTTATATCCTAGAAACATCGATGTTATTTTAATTATCATGACAAATGAAATACATAATAATTTGATAGTAAATTTCAGATTACTTATGATTCAATTTCCTACAAGAAAATAAAATATTTTTATAATTATCTTTGAAAACTCCTATCAATATATTTTAACTCAGCAATATTTTTATGATGACATGGACCAATGAGGGATCATGCTCACAGTTTAACACACTCTGCACGCGTATTTGGCAATGACACGTCGGAATCATAAGACGACGTGGCACCTCTTTGGTCATGCAACGGTTAGAGTTGCACGGGACCCACTTAAAAAAATTAAAAAAAAAACAACGACTATTAAAATTATAAATAAAAAACCTAATAAAATTATAAGAAATGAAAATACGGAAACTTTAGGGAGACGGAGAGAGAGACGGCGCTTACTCGTACCACACGGACCCTTACGGTCCCACGGACACGTTCCGACCAAAAAAAAAAACTTACCGTTTTCTGTTATTTTGTAAACTCGACGTGTTTTTGTAAAATAATTTATATTTTCTCATAATAAATTAATAAATTTTATATTAGAGTATTTATATTTATAGATGAAGCTTAGCCATAATTGAAGGGATGAACCTTATCGATTTTGCTGCTTTGCTTTGTTTTAGGTTTGAAAACTCTATATATATAATATATATATATAATCTTTCATTTCTAATTAATAATATGATATATATGCATAAATTTTTTGATAAAGAATTTGGTAAAAAAGATGAATCAGGTTTATGATTTTCAAAGAAAATAAATATTTAAAACATGAACATATATATATATATATAGACTGGTAGAGGTTGAACATTTCTTTAATCATGTTTAAAAACCTCATATTATTATGTGTATATATATATGTCCTAGGTTAACTTGAAGGTTTTAATATTAAGGAGGACAAAATAATTAATTAGTAGTGACAAAAGAATAGATATTGTATATATGCGTGTGTGTATGGCATATAGTTGGCATAT